TTTGGGTGATGTTAAGAGGTGAGTCTTTGGAAGTGATAGGGCAAGGAGGCCAGACCCTCATGGCTGGGATTAATACAGCTATGAAAGTCTGAGTTCCTCTTTGACTCTTTATCCTGTTTTCTGTCATGTGATGACATATCAAGAAATCTCTTGCCCAGTGCATTAGCCTAGATTTTGAACCCCCCAAATTCCAGAACTGTGAAATATTATATTTCTGTTTATTTTAAATTATGTGATCAACATTGTTCCATTATAGCAGCACAAAATGTACTAAGGTGATATGTAACTAGAAATTTCATTTTATGAGAAATGCATAGCATACAAAATCTCAATACTAAAATTTATTGTTCTGAAATTATCAACTATTTCGCACACAAGCGATTTTATATGATTTTTATACATGTTGCAGATTGTTCATGCTCCTTTGTTCATGGGAATGTCTAGTGAATTTCTTTCAGTTTGACCCTTCAGATTCTGTCTTGATAACATACCTCATGTGTCCATACAACAATCTCTATACAGGAATTTCTATGTGTTATTTGGAACCAATTCCAGTCCTATCCATTTAGGCTTGTTCGATGGCTTTATTTTATGTGCATGATTGAACAGCTCACTGGCCATTGGTGATTGACTCAGTTTTCAATGACGTGCTGAAAACCACAGCCCTCTAATCTTGGCTTGGCTTTCATAGTGACCAGCCCTTATGCTAAAATGACTTAAGAGGGGCCTGCACTGTGGCACAGCGGGTTAAATCCCTGGCCTGAAGCGCCGGCATCCCATATGGACTCCGGTTCTAGTCCTGACTACTCCTTTTCTGATCCAGCTCTCTGCTGTGGCCTGGGATAGCAGTGGAAGATGGCCAAAGTCCTTGGGGCCCTGTACCCACATGGGAGACCTGGAGGAAGCTCCTGGCTCCTGGCTTCGGATCTGTGCAGCTTCGGCTGTTGAGGCCAATTGGGGAGTGAACCTTTGGATGGAAGACCTCTCTCTCTCTCTCTGCCTCTCCTCTCTCTGTGTGTAATCCTGACTTTCAAATAAATAAATTAATCTTTAAAAAAAAAGACTTAGGAGCTGCTATTCTTCTGACACACACACACACAAATCACTTTAGAGAATAGAAGGGTTTTAGGTGTTGCATATTGGGAAACAAGATGAAAACTTTAAAATCTTTGACAATGTTATAATCTACCTCCTGGTCTTTGAACAAAGATCCCTTACAACAAAGGTATACAACCTAAAAGATACTGCCACTGTACTACAATTATGTCCCATTACTAATAATTTATTCAGTCTGTCATATTGCATGAATATGTTCTCCAAAATGGAGCCACTCAGATGTTCAAGCTTTTAGTTCACCTTGTCAGATTCCAAATGCAGCAGTAGTCATGGCAAAGCTACAGTTTCAGTCTTTTAGGCTTTGATATGATCCAGTTAAGAAATGTTTAATCTGTTATTCTGAGTTTCTTCGGAGGTCTTCATGTAATTAAATTCCAGAAATTCGTCATTTACTCATTCATTTTCCTTGTTACTATCCCTTCTTTTTCTCAGTTCACAGGTAAACTTTGTTTTACCTTTGGAAAGGACATAAGGATCAGCCACTGTTCTAGTATAGATTGCTGGTAGCAATACTCCACTAACAAATACTTTTTCCACAGTCTGCTCCCATTTTGATATGAAAGATTACATGGATGCAGAATGAGTGTGATTTTTTTTATCTCCAGACCATATAGCTGCATTCACTGTTAACCCTAAGTTTATCCAATGGTATAAAGGACAATTTATCTCTATCAGGTCACTAGAAATTCTAAAGTATGTTTTGTTAGGAAACAATCCCATTTCCAGAATCTAGTCATTTCTCTGGTCCTCTATCCACTGCATCAGGTGGGAGAGAGGGAGGCATTGACCAATATTTTCATGAATTTGAGGGGGCACACAGCGGATCCTTGAGTGGTTCTCTCTGTGCAGTTCTCGTCTCTGATACTCTGATCCATACAGTGTTGCCACATTGGTTTCCCTGAAGGTGTTAACTTATGTTCAAACAATGAATAGTCCAGGCTTGGATTCCCTCTCTGTGTGTGTGGCCCAGAAACTTTCTCAAGGAATTCTGGGGGCAAAGATATGAGTGACCTCATTTATTCCCTAATTCCCTGAGATCACTGTCATTTGTGGCAATGAAAATTTATTATTTCATTGAGTATTTTGTTATTATTTAAGAGACCAGAGCAGAAGTCTTGTTTATGGAATTTAATAATCCAAAATTAAATCCTCAAATCATTTGGTTTAGCATTCTTATTCATTTTGGCAAATTCAAATCTATTTTCCCATGATTTGGATCAATAATGTTATTCTCCTAGAATGGTTTACTGTGATTCCTAAATACACTCCAACTATAAACTTTTTTGCTCCACCTTCAGTATATGCCTAGAAAGTGACTAGCTCTCACAGCTTCTCACTAATCTTTTCTAGTTTCTAAACTCATTCATTAGAGAGAGTAATCCTACTAATATTTATGAATTCATGATACTGTTCTATCAATAACCCACTAATGGATTCCTATCTTACTCATAGTAAAAGAGAGTATTACATAGTAAAAGAGAGTATTACAATGGGCTAAAAGACTCCTTAAAGATCTCCTCCCTCAAGTCTATGAAATCATCCCACGTAACTCTCTCTCTTGTGGGTGCAGCTTCAGCCCCACAGATATCATGCTACTCTTCAACATCACCTTCTCTAGAAAAATTCTTATGGCTAGTTCTAGTTGGAATGATGTAGTCACAAATATGCAGATAACAACACCGCTCTTTGCCTGACTTAAGTCTATTAAGAAGGAATTTTTGTTTTAATTTTAATTGTGCATGTTGTAGAATACAATTAATGCTTAAATACATGTACACAACATATAATGATTACATCAGCATAGTTAGCATTTCTATCTCTTTTTTAAACTTTTGTTTAATAAATATAAATTTCCAAAGTACAACTTTTGAATTATAGCGGCTTTTCCCCCATAATCTCCCTCCTACCTGCAACCATCACATCTCCCACTCCCTCTCCTATCCCATTCTCCATCAAGATTCATTTTCAATTATCTTTATATACAGAAAATCAACTTAGTATATACTAAGTAAAGATTTCAACAGACTGCACCCACACAAACACACAAAGTATAGAGTACTGTTTGAGTAGTAGTTTTACTGTTAATTCACATAGTACAACAGAGATCCTATATGGAGAGTAGATGCACAGTGACTCCCGTTATTGATTTAACAATTGACACTCTTTATTTATGACGTCAGTAATCACCCAAGGCTCTTGTCATGAGCTGCCAAGACTATGGAAGCCTCTTGAGTTCACCAATTCAGACCTTATTTAGACAAGGCCATAGTCAAAGTGGAAATTCTCTTCTCCCTTCAGAGAAAGGTACTTCCTTTTTGATGGCCCATTCTTTCCGCTGGGATCTCACTCACAGAGCTTTCATCTATGTCATTGGTTCTTTTGCCACAGTTTCTTGGCTTTCCATGCCTGAAATACTCTCATGGGCTTTTTAGCCAGGTCCAAATGCCTTTCTATCTCTTTTAACAGTTTAATTTTTAAATAATGTTTTAGTTGTGCATATTTATGGGAGCATGGGTATGATATTTTAATATATGCATACAATGTTTATGGATCAAGTCAGAGTAATTTCTGTTTCCATTTTCTTCTTACCACTTCACATGTAGATGCCTCAAATTTACAAGGTACATTTTAGGCTATTGTGAACCGCAGTCATGCCAATGTGCTCCAGAATTCTAGAATGTATTCTTTCTATCAAATTGTTTTTTGGTACTTGTTATCCAACTTCTCTCTAGCCCTATCCCTTCTCCCCCTGCACTTTCCCATAATCACTATTTGATATTCAGGTGGATATTTTTTTTCAAACTCTATTCAGCTTTATTAAAAATTCTTTTCATAAAGAATCATGGTATATCTGGCAGGACCTAGGCATCAGGTGGATTTTGTTTTAGCTTCCATATATGAGAGAACATGCAGTATTTGTTTTTCTGTATCTAATTTATTTCACTTGATATAATGTGCTGCACAGAGGAGAAAGTCAGCAATGAGAATAGGAGAAATGTTTGCAAACTGTTCATCTGACAAAGGATTAATATCCAGAATATATACAAAACTCAGAAAACTAAATAATATGTGCTGGAATGGTGGTACAATTGTTTCATACACTGTTCATGATGTCAATGTCCCATTTAGGAGCACCAGGCTAGTACCAGCTGCTCTGATTTTGATCCAACTCCTGCTACTGCGCCTTGGGAATCAGTGGAAGTAACTTCAGGTACTTGGGCTTCTGTCACTCATGTGGGAGACCCAGATGGAGTCCCAGGTTCCTGGCTTCAGCCTGGTTCAGCCCTGGACATTGTGGCCACTTAAAGCGTAAACCATCAGGGAGAAAATCTCTTTCTCTCTGTCTCTACCTCTCTCTTTGTCACTCTGCCTTTCAAACAAATAAAACTTAAAGGAACACTCAATAACAACAACCCCCCCCCCAATTTGGCCACATTTAAAATTGGGCAAATGATATAATAGACACTTTGAGAAAAAGGAATTCAAATGACCAAGAACTTTATGAAAACTATGCATAGCATAATTAGCCATTAAAGAAATGTGAATTCAAACTAAAATGAGATATCTCACTCTAGTCAGAAAAATTATTACCAAATTGAGAAAAAATGGCATATGCTGGAGAGATTTGCAGAAAAGAGAACTATTTTACAATACTGTTGGGAATGTAAATGACTGCAATCATTTTGGAGAATGATATGTAGGCTCGTTGCTTAGGTCTTCTCAAAAATAAATATTTCCTTCTTGTGAGCTCTTCCATGATAATTCTTTTTGAAACCTCCAAACCTTATACTCTCCCTTTCCACCTCTAGTTTTTTCTATTGTTCTAATACTAGATGATACTCAGTGTATTGCTGTTACATATTACTTATTATTTTCTATCTTACCGTACTATAAAGTAGTCTCTGTGAGAAAAAGATGCTTTCCTTCTGAGTTTCTTCACTCCTGACTGCTTAACCTATAGAGGAAAATATAGCATCTATTTAAGACATCATACATAAATTCATGTTGTGTGTACTAGGCTTCTTTCCATTTGTAATGTTTTATAATAATGTCTGCACATTTAAAATGTTAATTTTACCTGTGTCCTATATAATGTTGTAATTGGTTATTTTTCATTTTGTTTGAAATCACAACCAAGCATATAGTGTTCATGTACAAATAGGTCTTTTGTTAATTAAAAAATAATTCTAACATACACAATTATGTAAGAATAATATTGCAATTATCAATATCCAGTACACAGAATAAACAAGTATAATTTAAGGTTTGTGTTAAAAATTTATTCCATTTCTAATTTAATGCTTTCTACATCTTGGAGAGGAAGTAATTGGTTGCCATTTATCAAGGTGAAATTTGTCTTTAGAAATGTATAAAAGTAGTACTAGTAACAAAAGTGTCTATACTAGCAAAATAGAAGTGCTCATTATTTTCTTGTGTTATGTAAGCCTAGTGATTTTAATCATTTCAAGGCCAATAAAACCTGTTCATTTTTAACTTTTATATACTTCAAATCCTTGCTTTTAAAACTCATTATAAAACATTTTGAAAGAATGTTCTGAAGAGATAGATTTAGAAGCTATTCACAAATCAATTAGCAATTTTAAAATAATATGTACGATGCAAAATAAGGTCTGGATCGTGGTTAGCACATAGACAGCTTCATATTTTTATTAATAGTTCAAGTATTATAAACATAGATTTTGAAACCTCTTTTTTGAATTGATTAAAGATTCTTCCCTTTTCTTTTTTGGGACATTTTTAACCAATAAAGTGTATACATTCAGCAAAGCAAATAATATGGGTGCTGGTTCGAATCCCAGCTGATCCTCTTCCGATCCAGCTCTCTGCTATGGCCTGAGAAAGCAGTAGAAGATGGCCCAAGTGCCTGGGTCCCTGCACCCACGTGGGAGACCCGGAAGAAGCTCCTGGCTCCTGGCTTTAGATCAGTGCAGCTTCCAGCCACTGTGGCCATATGGGGAGTGAACCAGCGGATGGAAGACCTCTCTCTGGCTCTACTTCTCTCTGTAACTCTGTCTTTCAAATAAATAAAATAATCTTTAAAAAAAAAAAGCTTATATTCTGAAATATCTATATTTGGGGCCAGTGCTGTGGAGTAGTGGGTTAAGCCACCACCTGCAATGCTGGCATTCCATATGGATGCCAGTTCAAGTTTCAGCTGCTCCATTTCCAATCAGCTCCCTGCAAATGTGCCTGGAAAGAAAGTGGAAAATAGTCCAAGTCCTTGGACCCCTGCATCCCTGTGGGAAACTCAGATGAAACTTCTGGGTTCTGGGTTCTGTCTAGCCCAGCCCTGGCCTTTGTATCCCTTTAGGAGTTAACCAGAGGATCCAAGATATTCTCTCTCTCTCTCTCTCTCTCTCTCTCTCTCTCTAACTTTGCCTTTCAAATAACATATATATATCTTTAACATTTTTTGAAATTTCTAAGATTTTGTGCTTTCCTTCGCAACACTAACTTCAGTGTATGTGTCTATATTTATATATACGCTTATGCATGTGTACGTGATGTGTGATAGATTCATTTTCCTGGTTTTCTAAATGATTGCAAATTGTTTCAGCTTTATATACTAAGAAATTCCTCTTTTCTGTATGATGTAGTAACAGTTCTGTGCCACCCATCAAATGATCAAATGTTCAGGGTCTCTCCTTGGTTCTATGTCCTTGCACATTTTGCTCTACTATAATCCTATGCTAACTGTGTACTATTAATTACATTTGCTCTAAAATAAGTATTATTTCACATCAGGGGAAATTTCTTTCACTGATTCTATTATTTTATTTGTCATTAGGTCTGTCTACATATTTCTAAAACACACAGACTGTTGATGAAAGACAGCCTGCAAAAGACTGACCACTTGGAGAGTCAGGTACAGGGAAACTTGTAAGTATGTTTGTTTTGGGATTTACATGATCAGGATTCCAAATACTTGGCAACATTATGTTTTTCTCTATCCTTGAAAGAAAAATCCAGAGATATCACTCTGTCTCTGAGGCTGACGCTGTCTGTGTATTCATAAACTGCTGCTTCTGGGGCAGGGAAATCTACCGAGATTACAGAAACACATAGAGCTCTATTCCCATCTGCATTCCACATCAAAGTGCTTGTGGTTGATACTTACTCCGGCTCTTGACTCCAGCTCCTGCTAGTGCAGACCCTGGAGTGGTTATGTCTCATGTAATTGTAATTGTATTCCTGTTATTTATGTGGTAGGCAAGAGTTGAGTTCCCAGCTCTTGACTTCAACCTCAACAGAGGGCTAACTATTTCAGGAATTTGAGGAGTGAACCAGCATCTCTGTCGACATCTTACATAAATAAACGACTTGGCAATAAGTTGATTTACTCAAACAGTATTTCACACTTTGTGTGTCTGTGTGGGTGCAAACTGTAGAAATCTTTACTTAATGTATGCTAAATTAATTTTCTTTTTTTTTTTTTTTTTTTTTTTTTTTGACAGGCAGAGTGGACAGTGAGAGAGAGAAACAGAGAGAAGGGTCTTCCTTTGGCCGTTTTGTTCACCTCACAAATGGCCGACAGCGGCAAGGCGCACTGAGGCCGGCGACAGGAGCTGGTTCAGATGGCAGGAGCCAGGAGCAAGGTGCTTTTTCCTGGTCTCCATGGGGTGCAGGGCCAAGCACCTGGGCCATCCTCCACTGCACTCCTGGCCACAGCAGAGGGCTGGCCTGGAAGAGGGGCAACCGGGACAGAATCCGGCGCCCCGACCGGGACTAGAACCCGGTGTGCCAGCGCCGCTAGGCGGAGGATTAGCCTAGTGAGCCGCGGCGCCGGCCTAAATTAATTTTCTGTATATAAAGATAATTGAAAATGAATCTTGATGTGAATGGAAGGGGAGAGGGAGCAGGAGAGGGGAGGGTTGAGGGTGGGAGGGAAATTATGGGGGGGGGGGGGAGCCATTGTAATCCATAAGCTGTACTTTGGAAATTTATAGTCATTAAATAAAAGTTAAAAAATTGATTTAAATCAATGATTAATATGGACTTAATCTTTAACTTACAGCAATACAAGTATATAAATATATTATACTTACAAATAATAAATTATTTCATAATATTACCCACTAATTTAGATCATTCTTTTTTGGGATAGCCCTGTTTATTTAGTCTAACATATTGTCTTACTGTATAAAATGCAAAAATGAGTATTCGTATTTATAATTGCGTGATTTTAAAGCTATTTTCTAAGCACATAAAAGAGATACTAACAGCATCAACTCATCATGTTTATTTTCAACTATGAAATTAAATTTTGTGGAAAATAATACTATAACAAAATGATGTTTTCTCCTTTACACTTGAGTTTATGCACTGTCTTATACTATTAACCTCAAAAACCTAAAAAAACAGTCTTGTTACCAATGAAAGAGAACTGGAGGCAGTTGAAATAAAAGCAGAAAATCAGTTACAAATATAAGAGCTAAATGTCCATATTTGCATAAAGAACTATTTTTTTTCCTAAAACTGCAATCCACACATCACCAAATGGAGAATAATGTGTTTTTCTGAAATGGTCACACAAAGCATATATATATAAATATATATATACATATATATTACATATAATATATATATATATTACTAAAGGTATTTGTAAAATCCTTAAAACTGGTGTAACCAGAAAAGATAGTCTTTTTTGTTTCAATCTGAATCTGCTAGATCTGTAAGACAAAGTGCATTATATCAAAGATGTCATTATTAAATTGCTTCTTTTAGAGAACATTAGGAATTCAAAGTATGAATTTAAGCATAATACAGTGACATTTCTCTTTCACCAACTTTTAAATTTTTACTGTCATATAAAAATTCTATTTATTTGGAGTCAGGTGATGTTTTGATGCATGCATAGACTGAATAATGTCCAATCAAGGTAAACATAGCTATCTCTATAAACATTTAACATTCTTTTATGCTAAAAGCATTCAAAATTCTTTCTTTTAGTTTCTTTGTAGAGAAATATACAGTATATTTTCATTCTCTATATTCACCTTACTGTGCACTAGATCAGAACACATTCCTATCTAAAAATAACAGTATTCATTTATACATTTTTGTGTTCATTTTGATGTTGCCTTGTGCTACTAAAAATTTTATAAGCAAATAAATAAAATACATAATGTTACATGAAAAAATATTTCAAATAACTTTTAGGCAGATTTTCAAATAAAAAAGACATTTTCTTTTTATACTTTAATTCAAATACAGATTCTAGTTACATGTACATGTTTGGTACTTCAGCATCTCCTACTTTACATGTGAATGAGATTAAAACTACTAATTTGCAGTACCTTCTGAGAATGCCCTAAAATCATTCTTTTTTTCTGTCACATTTCAATGATTTTTTTTTAATTTCTCCAGAAATAAATGTAGTAAACATATAGTCTGTTTTTAATGCCATTTAAATAGAAGAATCATATTTCTATAACATTGAAAATATTAGTGAATATTAGTTAAACAAATTGATTTTGCACATGGAAGTACTAGAAATACATTAGAAAAGAAATCCACCTTTATTTTCTAAGTAAATTAATGTTTAGAGGAAGGAACTCAATAAAATAAAAATACTAGTGTTCTAATTAAAAATGCTATAATTTTTCCTATTCTATTTATTAATTGGAATTAAATATAGAAAAAATATACAGAAACCAGTGTCACAGGTAAGTGTAATCAAAAATGGGAGAAACTAGAATCAGCCTATAGTTCTAATTATAGAATCAGTTATTTTTAAAGGAAAGCAAACATTCAATTACAAATAAATTTCGCAAAATTAATCTCATATTGCATTGTAATTCTAATTTTCATAACACAATATGGCTTTTGCATATTGGAAGCCGTTTTAAAAAGATTATAATTACTCATTTTATTAAACCTTAAAATTGAGAATTGAAAGCAATTTCAATATTATTTTCCTATATAATACATATTTAAACTTAGTTCAAATGTATTAATTCAAGTGCCTAAAGCTAAGAAACATTCTGTTATTTTTCTGGGAAATTGTATGGGAAAATTACAGAGTCATAATTCTAAGTATTGTGATTAGTTCTTATGTTTGCCAATGCAGCAAATTCATCCATGGTAGAACACACAGCATGGGCACCTATTCACAAATATATTTCTGAGAAATTACATGGGTGTCACTTTAAAGCTCAGTTTGTTTGTAAATGGGAAATATCATTCTTCCTGCAAAATAACATTGCCATGTTGTGTTGAAGGCAGAATTTGCACAGTGTGGTGACATCATAATATTTTCTTCTGCACTCTGAAAGGAAATGCCACAAAACAGATATCTTCCTCAAAGTGGTTAGAAGAGTACTCTGTTCCTAGATTCAATTAATCATAATTTGGTTTTTAAGAGAGAGCTGTAGGCAAGTTTCCCTCTCTCTCCCTCCATCCCTTCCTCCCTCTCCTTTCTACCCCAGCCCTTCAAATCTATAAGGGTCTGTTCCAAGTATCCTTCTGGATGTCAGGAAAGAACAAGTAATCACTGACATATAGATAACTATAAATAATATAACATTTTCCCTGTCAATGTCACACAGCTGTTCCATGCATTTCTTTATCTTTCCCCAAAGAAACATTGTATTTAAGGAATACAAACTTCATGCATAACATAAATACAACTTTAAGGACATAGTGATTCTTCCCACTGTACCCGCCCTCCCATCCACATGCCTACCCCTCTTCCTCCTCCTTCTCCTATTCCCAGTCTCATTTTTAACTAAAATCTATTTTAAATTAACTTCATGCACATTAGATTAACTCTGTATTAAGTAAAGAGTTCAACAAATTGTAGAAAAAATAAACTGTTCCTCAACAATTCAGATCAGAGCTATTCAAAGTCATTGCATCTCGAAATTAATTTCACTTTTTTTTTAAAGATTTTTTTTTCTTTTTGAGAAACTTAGTTCACTTTAAAGGAGAATCCAAATATGATACATCTTTTGCAAGCACTTATACATAACTATACCTTGAGATATAAGAATATCCTCCACTTTATACACTAAATGATATAAGTCTTTGAGAACAAGTTTCACTCTTAACTTTCATAATACAACTCTTTGAGGACACAGGCCCTGCATGGGAAGTTGATGAACAGTGACTCCTGTTGTTAATTTAACAATTAACACTCTTCTGTATGACATCAGTGATCAACCAAGGCCCCTGACATGAGATGCCCCGGCTATGGAAGCCTTTTGAATCAACAAACTCCTACACTATTTAGAAAAGTCCATAAGTGAAATGGACGTTCTCTCCTCCCTTCAGAGAAATGTACATTCTTCTTTAACAACCACTTCTTTCCACTGGGGTCTCATCCATAGAGGTCCTTCATGTAGGACATTTTTGCCACATTGTCTAGGAGTCCCATGTCTGACATGCTCTCATGGACTTTTCAGTCTGACCTGAATGGCCTAAGCACTGATTCCGAGGTCAGAGTGCTATTTAATGTGATTGTCATTCTAGGAGACTACTGTATGGACTGCTTCACATATTTGAGCATTCACTCCTTTTTAATTCTATTATTAAAATCAAATACTTAATCCTATCCGTATGATCACTTTAACACATAATATGCTATTTTTACCACCCAGTATAAGGGAGAACATATGGTATTTGACCTTTGGGGCTTATTTCACAAGTATGATGTTTTCCAGTTTCATTCATATTGTTGCAAATGACCAGATTTTCATTTTTCTACTGCTGTGTAGTATCCATGGTGTACATATCCCATAATATCTTTATCCAGTCTTTAATTGATGGGCATTTGGGTTGATTCAATGTCTTAGCTATTGTGAATTGAGTTGAAATAAACATGGGGGTACAGATAACTCTTTCATATGTTGATTTCATTTCCCTTGGGTAAATTCTCAGGAGTGGGATGGCTGGGTCATATGTCAAGTCTATACTCAGATTTCTGAGGTATCTCCATACTGTCTCCCATAGTGGCCTTCCCAATTTATATACCCACCAATAGTGGATTAGGGTATCTTTCTCCCCACATCCTTGCCAGATTTTGATGTTTGTTTATTTCTGTGTGAAAGCCATTCTAACTGGGGTGAGGTGAAACCTCATTGTGGTTTTTGAATTGCATTTCCGTGATGGCTAGAGATGTATGTCTTCATGGCTCAATTTAGCTAGGTTGTATGTGTACAGGAATCTATCCATTTCTTCTGGGTTTTCTGGTTTCTTGGAAAACAGTTCTTTGTAGTAATTTCTGATGATTCCTTTTTGTTTCTGTGGTGACATTTCCTTTTTCATCTCTAATTTTATTGACTTGGGTCTTATCTCTCCTTTTTTTGGTTAGTTAGGCCAATGGTGTGTCAATTTATTTATTTTTTCAAAAAACCAGCTCTGTTTTGTTGATTTTTTATTTTGTTTCTATTTTGTTTATTTCTTCTCTAGTTTTAATTATTTCTTTTTTCCTAATAGTTTTGGGTTTGGTTTCACGTTTTTTATGTAGGTAACTGAGATGCATTGATAGCTCATTTATTTGGTACCATTCTAATTTCTTTATGTAGGCACCAATTGTTATAAACCTTCCTCTTAACATTACTTTTGCTGTATCCTCTAAGTTTTGATATGTTGTGTTGTCATCTTCATTTGTTTCCAATTTTTTTTTTTTTTATTTCTCGTTTTATTTCTTCTGTGACCACCGTTCATTCAGGAGCATGTTTTTCAGTCTCCATGTGTTTGCAAATGTTCTGGAGATTCCTGAGTTTCTGATTTCCAACTTCATTGTATTGTGGTAAGAGAAGATGTATGGTATGATTTTAAATTTTTTTTTTTTTTGAATTTGCTGAGACTGGCTTTATGGCTGAGCATGTGGTCAATCCTAGAGATAATTCCATGTACTGGTGAGAAGGATGTGTATTCTGTAGCTACAGGATGGAAAGTTAAGTAAATATTTGTTAGGTCCATTTGATCTATGATGTCAATTAACTCTGTTGTTTACTTGCTGATTTTCTGGCTGGTTGATCTATCCATTGCATGCAGAGAACACAAGTGGTGGGTTAACCATCTACACCACAATGCTAACCTACCTATTGATTTTTTTTTCTTCAGATAAATTCTACTGTTTTACTGTATCTCACCTTTTTTCTCCAACAACAAAGAATCTTTTTTTAAGTTAGGTGAAATGAATATAATAAATAAACTCACTATATTATATGGTATTATGAGTCATATGTTTTAGTTTTAGTTTTTGAAGATTAATTTTATTTACCTGAAAGACTGATAGAGTTTGAGGGAGAGAGAGAGAAAGGAAGAGATATTACATCTACTGTTTCCCTAAATGGCCACAATGACCAGTGCTGGACCAGGCCAATGCCAGGATTCTGTAACTCTATCAGGTCTCCCATATGGATGGCATTGGCCATGTACTTGGGCCATCTTCTGCTGCCTTCCAAGGCTCATAAGCAGTGAATTGGATCAGAACCAGAGTGGCAAGAACTCCATTTGGCACTCAGATGTAAAGTGTTTGGGCTGCGGGTGCTATGCCACAGTATTGCCCCAAGCCATATATTTTTAACTCTAAAACATTATTAGAAAATTGATGATTTTTCGAATTTTTGTTTTATATGTTGGAGTTGTCTCTCTCTGACATTATGCTAGCTGTCAAAAGTAATAAAATAAAAGGATATGAATGAGATATCATTTCAATTAGAAATTCTTTTATTGATATAGGTATTAGATGCACAACAAACACTGAGAGAAGTATGAATGTCCAAGACATTTTTAGTCAGCAACAAACCCTCATAAATTACCTCAGATTCTATTTACCAATCAATACTCTAGACCATGATGACCGCCTCAGTATTTTACAAGAAAGCATATTTAATGTCACAACACTCACATTGTTAGTATAAGGTAGATAGGAAGGAAATAGCAGGATCAAAGGGGAATAGAAAGCATAATAATTGGAGTGTACTTACCATCCTTTGCATTCTTCTGTTTGTTTCTTTGAACCTAGATCTAGGGATGAAAAGAAACTCTACACCAATGCCATTTTGTGTTTCCTACCTCTTGTGTCAGACCTTGAAATGCCTCTGTGAATCGTCCTCAGTGGAGTCCCAGACTTCAGCAGGGCTACTGTAATCCAGAAAGTATCGTGTGTAGAATCTCTAGCACTCTGAGTCTGTCAGTTAGACACAAACCAGTTACCAGAAACTTATGAAAAAAAAATGTGATTTAAGAAATATCTACAGAGTTTTAATTACCACATCAAATATAATCATTCCTTAAATACTCAATATCTTCAAAAGAGAATTATTTTGACCTTCATTGTCAAGAGAAGAATGACATTAAAAAATAAGGCAAAATTTGTTTACTTAGAGTTTATAGTTCAGGTATTGTTGCTACTCATCTTCCTGTTATCTTTTTTACAAGCTTAATGATTTTATTAGATCATCAAAATGCTGGCTGATAATAATACTTATAAAGGAATTTTGACTTTGACAGGAAATCATGTGTGAAGGAATTCTGTTTAATAAGCAGTAAGACGTAAAAAAAATTACATTTTATTTCTTCTGAGGCATGTACTGTATTTATATGAAAGTGTGATGTGATGGCTATAAGAATGTTCAAAGTAAAAAACAGCTTTGAGAAAGCCAACAATATGAGGATATCCTTTTAATAGTTTAAAGCAATCCATTTGTTCCCAAATTAAGACAGTAAAGAAAATGTTGTAGCTAACAAAAACCAACATGTGGTCTAAATGAGATATAATTTTCACCAATAAGAGTATAATCCTTTATTTAAACAAAATGTTAGATTGGCAAAGAGTATTGCATTGCAATAGAACAAAAGGCAGCTGAAAGCATAACAAATCAAAATAGAGACCATGCAGGGTCACAAGAGGTTAACAACCCTAGAAACCTTTCATAGCCATCTTTGACATAAAGTTTAATCAATAATTTAATAACAAAAACATAAAGCTTAAAACAGATATAGTAAGAGATTGACATTTTAGTGCATGATGATGTGCATACTGATTTAGGAAATTGACTCTATTCGTTGTAAGATGTTAGGATTTTTTTGAAATATTCTAGTGAGCTCTAAAATGGCAGTTCCTCTTTGCTTACAAATAAAGACTTGAAATTACAAAAGATTATCATATTGTTCAGAAAATCAAAAGCCATGCCAAAAAAGGTAATGCAAATTTACCATGAAAAAATGTTCTTAAAATGATAAGATCATGGAAGAAACATGATCAAACAAGCTCGTAAAATCTAGAAGTTTTGTCAAATGGACATACATATACAGATACATGCTAGCTACACATGATACATTAATATCTTAAGATGAATGCCATCATTTATAACTCATATTTATAATTAATATTCTGAAATGCCCATGTTAAAGCAATAACAAACAACAGCAACAGCACAAAACTTAGATCAATTGACTTTTTTTTAATTATTATTATTTTTTTTTTTGACAGGCAGAGTGGACAGTGAGAGAGAGAGAGACAGAGAGAAAGGTCTTCCTTTGCCGCTGGTTCACCCTCCAATGGCCGCCGCGGCCGACGCGCTGCGGCCTGCGCACCACGCTGATCAGATGGCAGGAGCCAGGAGCCAGGTGCTTTTCCTGGTCTCCCATGGGGTGCAGGGCCCAAGCACCTGGGCCATCCTCCACTGCACTCCCTGGCCACAGCAGAGAGCTGGCCTGGAAGAGGGGCAACCGGGACAGAATCCGGCGCCCCGACCGGGACTAGAACCTGGTGTGCCGGCGCCGCTAGGCGGAGGATTAGCCTAGTGAGCCGCAGCGCCAGCCGATCAATTGACTTTTCACAATACTGTCCAACTTGCTGATTCTCATTTGAACAAATTTCAAAATAGAGCAAAATGGCAACCAGTAAAGGGCTATGCTATTTGGTGTGCAACAATCTATAACAAATTGTTACGGATTAAACTAAGAAGATACACTAATACTTTAATTGTAGTTATAAATTCATTACATGACTGCTCAAATTTTGTTGCTTGTTGGCTGTCTAGTTTTGAGATTATTGTCATTAGGAGGTGAATGAAATGCAGTCTAGATTATGTACTACTTGAAAGATCACATTCAGACCACAGTTTAACTCTTGACTGCAATTTGTCTTAATTAAAAATACTTAGGATCTTCATCTTCTGGCAAAGTATTTCAAAGTTCCTCAAAAGCCAAATTAAAACTAAGAGGTCATTATTGGTAACAATATATTTGACACATGAGTTTCAGGTCACTATTGTACTTACATTCCTAATAAAGAATATGAACAATATGAGTCTAATTAAAAGTAATTCTACATTGTGACTAACATTTTTACTACAGCCAGTGAATGTAGTTTCCAATCAACAGAACTAATTTTTAATGTCAGACTAATGAAGATTTAGTGAGGTACAAAAATAAGGTACAAAAAAGTCTATGTAATTATTATCTTGCTTACACTTTGTAGTAGGATTATATTAGCACATTGAAAATATAATATTTTTCTTTACCTTTGTAAGTTGACATAGATAAAATATTTTTCATTTTGAATTGTATTTAATCTTTTTATCATACTTTTTTTATATTGTCCACACCAACTATATTGGAATCAGAAAACTACATATGGTTAAGGACAATGATTCTTAAAGTCATTTTAGCAAAGGATATTGATCAGAGAATCAAAATATCATACTAAAATTCTAAGAAATAAATGTGTACATCTCATTTTTCAGTTTTTTATAACTGATGTTACAGAAGTCTACAATTTTTGTGTGGACAGTTCCTTCATATATCCATCTCTGTGATGTATGAATGAACATGATGAAGGCAATGGAGCCAGAGGAAAGATAAGTATTATCTATTCTCAACTATAATTTCGGTAAAAGAAATATGAAGCCATTTCAATATTAATGAAGCAGTCCTTTCTTGGAAGACAATGCCATCTCAAATATTTATTCTTAGAGAGAGAAAAATGTTTAGAATTCACAAAGCAAAACACAATCTCACAGTTCTTGTTAGAAATTTGAAATTTAATTTGGGCTTGCAAATCACTTTCAAAGTCCACCAATATTAAATGATGTATTAACAGAGATGGGGAAATCCAACAGCAACCCTTGGCTGGCATTACCTTATTGTAGAAAATTTATTAAATTTTATACAATGTCAATTTAACACACACACATACACACAGACAAACCCACCAATCTCTGTGGAATCTAAACTCTTCTTCCTTTGGCTTATGGTTTTATGAAGACTAAATAAAACTAAAGAATCAATAAAGCAATATTATCATTTATACCCAAATAAGCTATTAAATGTAATATGTAATTATAAGCTATGTGATAGTTTCTGTGACTTTGTCTTATGTAATGCATTGCTACAGAAAATTTTTAAAAGATCTAAAATCTCAGTTCTGCAATAACAAAGATGTGCTCACAGCTAGTGTAATCCAATTTTATTGTTTTCTTTATGAGGTAAATTACTGCATTTTCTTTACCATTTTCTTTCATCCTAAAATTTGGGGAGTCCTACCAGACTGAACAACCCACCATTCTAAATCATTTTTAAAATTAAATACATAAAGTTTGGATATTTTCCTTCCATGCGGAAAGAACAAAGGTTTCTCTCTATTATCATTTCCTGCTGAGTTAAAGTAATTCAAGTTTCAGTACATCAAAATGTCATTCCCAAAATAGAAAAGGTTATGTGGCTTAATTATGTTCATGTTATTCCTCCAAAAGATTTTATTTTTCATCTATTAATTTATAGGCCAGTGGTAAAGTCAGTGAAACGAACATGACCGTGCTGGATTCTTCAATATCACATCAAAGCAGGCTTACATAATGAGCACAGAATTCTTAAAGGTTAATCACACTCTTCTAGGATTACAAATTCTGAACTTCAGGAGGTTGTTAATTTAAAAGAATAATTTTTCATTGGTAAGGTTTATGGTAGCATAAAAATGTGAAAACAGAAACATAGATTCTGTGGTTGTAAGCAGATAATACTCAGCAGGCTTCTTCTAAATAGAGATGTATCATGAAGAAAGACAACAAAAGGCATTTAGTGATCTGATGGGATTTAAATTTAAATGCTTTATTACTACATGTAAATAAAATTGTTTCAAAATACAAGTAGAATGGACTACATGCACACAAAAGAAAAAATGTAACAATATTTATTTATCTGTATCCAATATTGCATGATCAGGTAGTTACTGTAATTCTGTAAAACAGATAGCATTTTTATTGTTTGTATAGCATCCATCATTGCTCCTTTACTTAGTTGTGTCCCACGGAATGCCAAACAAGTATTATATTTCCCATCTCATTATACAGTTGCACACAAAATGTTATTATGATGATTCCATTGAAAATTATTTTTGAATTTGGCTTCCAAATTGGGAATGATTTATCATACCTAGATTAATTAAAATCTGAATAACATGTGAAATTAATATTGATGCAATTGACAGTACTATGATTATATATCTTGATATTTAAGTTTCATGGTGATTGAAGACAAGTCATTTTACTTATTTATACAGTTATTCATTGCACATTTTAATGTCTCTGGTATTAATTAATTAATTTGTTTATTTGAGAGGCAGAGTAACAAAGGCAGACAGAGCTGTCATCTACTGGTTCACTCCTCAAATGCCCATAAATAGAGGAGGTTGGGCCCACGCAAGAGACAGGATCATGACAGGGGAATCCCACATGAGTGGCAGGAACCCAAATACCTGAGCTGCCACTACTGCATCCCAGAAAACGCACTGATTGAATTTATTAGTTAGAGAATGGAATTGAACCTAGACACTATCACATGGGATGAGAGTGTCTTAACTGCTATACTAAACACCCATTCAGCTTATCCTTTTATTGTTTGAACAGCAGCAAGAATAATAACTAACTGTGGCATTTGTTTAAGGTAAATTAGATGAGATTTATGTGTTTACAAATTATGATTTTTCAGTGTATATTTGAACACAAATCTGCCTGTTAGCAATAGGAAAAGGGAAACTCGGGAAACAAAACTCACACATATGCATACACAAGTAGATTGATCTTTCTTCAGTTTTCTCAGTAATCACCAGTAAACCATTCAGTGGATGTTATGTTAGAGCTGGAATTGATAACTATGACAAAGTGTTTCCTAAATAGAAAGAATTTCTTTTACCTTATCACAGTTAAATCTATCTCTAAATAACCAAGGGAATATCTAGGAGTGTACCAAAGGGTTTGATTAGGAAATTGTGTTATCATCAACACTTCTTTTCTAGATAAAAAATAATAGAACTATACTTGTTAGAACCTATCAGGCCACTGAGGCCTGATAGAATGGATTATCACTGGGGCCTGAACCCCCAGGCCCTGTGACACTAGGCACAGATAAATAATGTCAATGCTAGTGGAATGCTTATCCAGCCCCTCACCTGGGATATTCCACACTGCTAAGACAAAGCTTTGTAAACTTCATCCAGGTGCTTTTCTGCAGGTCCCCCACTCACTTTTTCAGGGTCCCCCTGGTACTCTGCACCTCCCCGAACAGGCAGCTAGCTAACAAGGGACTCTGCCTGCTGCTCAAAGGGAATGAGGCCTGGCTTCAATCCCCTGGCCTCGGTCTGGGCAGGCTCAACTCCCACCACCTTTACCTCCCCCAAAAGTGTTCCCCCTAAAATAAAGCCTTTTCAATTTCTCTGAACCCTAAAATTCTAACAATAGAAAAATACTCTACATCAACTTACGGAACAGGAGACATTGAAACCAGCTGTCTTGGGATATTTCTCATCTGTTGGAAGCAGAAATCTTCAATCAACTTTGACATGGTTAGAGATAGCAAGAAGGCTGAGGCTTAGGTTAGTTCAGTAAACTAAGTTAAATTCACCATTCGAAGACATATTACAAGACAGTCTCTCAAATTCTGATTAGTGTACAAAGCTACAATTTCCTTCTCTTTAACATACCTATACAAAATTGCCCTCCCCACAAAGTGAATCAAAATTAAACATGCACAGAGGTGATAGTTAGTATCTCCTATTTGACAGTATTTAGAGGGGGAAGAATTTTGTATCCTTGTCAAACAGGAAAAGGGAGTAATCACCTGGCACTAACTCAAAAGAAATCTACCCTAAAGGGAAAATAAAAATGAACTTGTCTTTTCGGATTCAGAGTTGAATATTTACACTGCTCCATTACACAAAACACACACTGCACACGTGCTGAATTTCTTTTTCTGGTGAACTTCTACCTAATTAGCACTCATTAAGATTCACACTGGTAGTGACTCTACCTTTTGCCTATTGTTCAGAGATCGACTTTATAACCCTTCTCTTTGCTTATATTACAAGAATGATCACTTCTGCTCATCAGCTCAGTCTTTTAAAGAAATCTGTCCTTAATATTTGCTTGCATTCAAAGTCATTCCTGAGTTCATCACAGCTGGGAACACTAAAGAGGCGATTGTTTTTTCTGGACTAAGACATGAACAGGTGGTACTTCCACCTGCTGCAAGTCTTTCAATGTTTGTTGGCTCAACACTGTTCTTGTTGGCTCAAACCATATCCCAGGTGAGGGGCTGACCTAGTATTTGAAATATTTTCTTGCATTGGAAGCAGCAGAGGAAGAGAAAACAGACTATGGACCTTTACATTACTAATGGTCTCATTATAGACATTTTCAGGTTGGTAATTGCTGGCATATTGAAATAAATGGGTGCATTGCTTTCTGGTCCGAGTGTGGGTGGAAATAAACCAAACAAATAGAAATGGAACCTGGCTACTTTATTTTGAACATTAAAGAAGATATAGCCAATCCAATTTAGCAACTTATTTTTCCCTTGGGAAAGTTTGCATAAGTCTATTCGTCACTGGCAATGAAAAAAAAAAATTCTAGACTAACAAGTTTTGTTGTGATTTATTTTGCACAAAGAAAGCACTTGGCTGCCATACAATTTGGGGTATATCTGCTCTGTTCCCTTAGTTTATTTAATGTTTTGGTATTTTTGTTCTGTAGTGGAATAGGACAAATTGGTTCAAAAATACTAGTACTACTCAATTTGAAGGCTTTTATGGACAGAGTAAACCATTATGTTATATCCAGTCATTATTACAAACCACAATTTAACTTGGGACTATTTTTGTTGTGAACAAAATGGAAAACATTCTGTTAAGATGGTTATTTCTGCTTTTCCACTATTCATTCTATAATAGTTTTCAATGAACTATGATGGGAATATCAACACAGAGAAACTTTCATTCAGTATACAAAAAAGTTCTATTTGTGTTTCTGTACAGTTACAGATGCTATCTTTCATCTATTTTATATATACACTATATATGTGTATCCAAATAAAAGAGATATTGATATATATGCAAATTGTATTATACAAAATATATAAGTATGCATACAAAAATTATTCAGTAAAAATATATAAACAAAAATCCATTCATAGACGTCTAAGAAATGTAATTGATTCGGACTCCAAATCAATTTTTCATAAAGTATCTTCCAGGATACCAAGCATTTAAAAAACATTCCATAAATTCCAAACTCTACTCTCTGATTTTCAATTCTAAAATATTTGCCATTTCCTTTTTAAATATTGCCTCTCCCAAGACTTAAATAATCTATGCAGAAGGGAGAATTATTATATTTTTTATATTAGGAAATCCAGTAGCCAAGTTGGAATTTAATGGTCTACACTTCTTTGTCCCATGCATATTTCAGGCCATTTTTAGCTTCTAGACTTTTCAGGGAATCTGAGAATTTTAGGCAGATATGAGGGAAAATGGCCATCTTTTTATAAGAAATGTTTACCTTAAAAATTTTTAAATCATGACTAAGTATAAAGTGACTGCAAAACTTTGGTATTGGGAAAAAAGTTAGCAAATTGTTTTTAACTTACATGTCTGAAAAATAAGAGTGAACAATTTCTCCTAGGAAAGATATTGAGAGAATAACAGGACAAAGAAAACAGTGTAAGAAAATTTGGTTAGATGGTTAAGGCTTAATGTTGAAACTTTAAAGTGTTACTTGAATTTCCTTCCATTCCATCATAACCCTTGTTTTCTTTTTTCTTCTCACTATATACTTTCTCAGACTCTACTGATTCTTTTTCCTCTGCCAAACACAAACAAAAGTATAACTTCAAATCAAATGCAGTTCTCTTTACTTTTGCATGTATGTATTTTTTTTTCAGTTTGTATACATTCCAGCTCTTTCTATCCCATTTTTCCCAAAAGTTTGTAAGATGTATGTTTTGATAGGTACTACTCTTTCTCCTCTCTCCTGAGTGCTTTGTAAGCTTATGATACATTTTATTGCAGACTTACACATACTCCTCTCAATGTCCTGGATGTATTTTCTTCTTGCCCTTGTCATGTTTTCCATTCCAGCCAATAGAACTTTTTGAAACAAAGTAAGTCGGGCCAGCGCTGCAGCTCAATCCTTCGCCTGTGGCGCCAGCAACCTGGGGTTCTAGTACCGGTCAGGGCGCCAGATTCTGTCTCAGTTGCTCCTCTTTCAGTCCAGCTCTCTGCGGTGGCCTGGGAGTGCAGTGGAGGATGGCCCAATTCCTTGTTCCCTGCACCTGTATGGAAGACCTGGAGAAGCACCTGGCTCCTGGCTTGGGATCAGCGCAGTGCGCTGGCCACAGCGGTCATTGGAGGGTGAACCAACAGAAAAGGAAGACCTATCTCTGTGTCTCTGTCTCTCACTGTCCACTCTACCTGTCAAAAAAAAAAAAAGTAAGTCATTTCTGAAAGTGTATGGATGTGGAAACTTTGCAGTTGAAAAAATATAAATCAATTTCTATGCATTCAAGGACCAGATTGGATAAATAAAATTCTGGTGCTTTTATCTATAAATAATAATACATTTATTGAAATAATTGTGTATGTTTGTATACAACTTATATACATAATTTTATTTATTTGAGGTGAGAGAAGCAGAAATGGAAGGATAGAAAGAGAGATCAACAGAAAGAACTCCTATCTGCTGTTTCACTGAACTGCCCACCAGCTGGGAGCTGGGGACACAATCTAGGACATCCACGTCGGTGACACAGACACAATTATTTGGGCCAATACTTCTGCCTTATAGAATCTGAATTAGCAGGAAGCTGGAATCAGGAACTGCAGTTAGGAATGGAATCTAAATACTGTGTTATTTACATTTTCACCTGCATCTTAACTGCTAAGCTAAATGCCCACCCTTGTATACTCCTTGATTAAAAAAAGTTAAAAAAAACAGCTTTTGCATGTTTGTACTTTAAATAAGTGATAATTGGTTGAGAATTATTTGTTTTTAACTTACATAATATAAACATATATAAGAACATCAAATTGTACTCCATCAATATGCATGATTTTATGTCAGTTAAAATAGAGAAGTAAATAATAACTTCCAAATTGCCCACAATTTTCATTTTAACATTTGATTTTACTTCTTGGGAATAGTATATCCAATAAATCATCTATTAGTTAATTAGAGGTGTCAATTTAATTGGGCTATTGAATACCCAAATATTTCATCAGATATTATCATGGGTATTTCAGTAGCAGTGTTTCTGGATAAGTTTAACATTTAAATTGATAGGCTTTATAAAGCAGATCATCTTCCCAAATGTTGGCAAACCTCATGCAAGCATTTGAAGACCTAAATGGAACAAAAAGCTGACCATCTCATGCACAACAGAATATTCCGCCTGCCTCACCACCCTTTAACTGGGTCTTGGGCTTTGTCTTGCCTTTAGACTCAAACTGAAACACTGGCCTTCCTCCATCTCTCATCTGCCAAATGTTATTCTGAAATTCAGTCATCTATTCTGGTTTTCAAAATTGCTGATTAAAGATAATGGGACATCTCAATCTCCATAATTATGTGAACTAATTCCTCTTTTTTAATTTTTTTTTATTTTTTTGACAGGCAGAGTTGGACAGTGAGAGGGAGAGAGACAGAGAGAAAGGTCTTCCTTTTGTCGTTGGTTCACCCCCCCAAGTGGCTGCTGTGGTAGATGCACGGCGCTGATCCGAAACCAGGAGCCAGGTGCTTCTCCTGGTCTCCCATGCGGATGCAGGGCCCAAGCACTTGGGCCATCCCCCACTGCCCTCCTGGGCCACAGCAGAGAGGTGGACTGGAAGAGGAGCAACCTGGACAGAATCTGGTGCCCCAACTGGGACTAGAACCCGGGGTGCCAGCGCCACAGGCAGAGGATTAGCCTATTGAGCCATGGTGCCGGCTTGAACTAATTTCTCTTATTAAGTTTATTTTTTATTTTTATTTTTATTTTTAAAATGTTATTTAAGTACAATTGTCATGTATTTCATATACACAGATTTAGGAACATAGTGATACTTCTCTGTACATCATGGATTAAGATTAATCTTTATATGTCTAAAGATGATTTTTGTCCATTTCAACTTGCCTCCACAAAACAACCAGAGAACCTCCTTAGAAAAGAAATCTATTTGTTTCATATCTTGATTAAACTCCTTCCATTGTGTTCCACTAATTTAAAATAAATCTGGAAATAACTACAAGGTTCAGCCTGTTCCGTCATCTCACTGCCATGACATTCTTCATTCTTTCTTTAATTTCCAGCCAAATTTCCCTGTCTTTTCACCTGCGTACACACTCTATAAATAAATAGCTGTCACTTAATTACCTGAATACAGATAAAGAGATAAAAAATATCTTGGACATCTGACAAAAATAATTTTCCTCGTAGTTCCTATTTCTTAACTGAATCATGTTTTTCTCAGGATTCATCATTCTTTTGAAATTTCCAGGAGC